TTTTGAACTTGTGGTGAATAATACATAACATAAAATGTACCTCTTCAACCATTTTAAGTGTTCAGTTCAGTACAGCATTAAGTACATTCACACTACTGTACAAACATCAGTTAAGTAGTTTTTTTTTCTTTTGAGACAGGGTCTCACTCTGTCACCTGGGCTGCAATACAGTAGTATAAACACAGCTCACTGCAGCCTCAATGTCCTGGGCTCAGGTGATCTTCTCATCTCGGTCTCCCAAGTAGCTGGGACTACAGGTATGCGTCACCATGCCCAGCTAATTTTTTTATTTTTTGTAGGGACAGGGTTTTGCCTTATTGCCCAGGCTGGTCCCAAACTTCTGAGCTCAAGCAGTGCACCCTCCTTGGCCTCCCAAAGTGCTGGGACTACAGGCATGAGCCACTGCACCCAGCCTAAGTAGTTATTTTTAATAGAGAACCTGTGAACCTACTAAGTTACTACCTAGACAACGTTTAACCAAATGGTTTTCTCCCTTCTGATCCCATGCCTGCCCCCACCCCTACCCAGGAATCCTGGCATTATCATTCCCTCACTTTTTTTTTTTTTTTTTTTTTTGAGCCTTGCTCTGTCAGCCAGGCTGGGGTGCAGTGGCGTGATCGCGACTCACTATAACCTCTGCCTCCCAGTTTTAAGAGATTCTCCTGCCTCAGCCTCCTGAGTAGCTGGGACTACAGGTACATGCCACCACGTTGGGCTAATTTTTTTTGTTGTTTTTTTGAGACAGTCTCACTCCAGGTTGGAGTGCAATGGTATGATCTTGGCTCACTGCAACCTCCACCTCCCAGGTTCAAGCGATTCTCCTGACCCAGCCTCCTGAGTAGCTGGGATTACAGGAGGGCACCACCACACCTGGATAATTTTTATATTTTTAGTAGAGATGGGGTTTCACTATGTTGGCCAGGCTGGTCTTGAACTCCTAACCTCATGATTTGACCACCTCGGCCTCCCAAAGTGCTAGGATTGCAGGCGTGAGCCACCACGCCTGGCCAATTTTTTGTATTTTTAGTAAAGACGGGTTTCGCCATAATGACTAGGCTGGCCCTGACTTATTTTTTTATATCATTTTATTGCAGATATATGTGCCACTAAAATTATTTTTCATTTTATTTTTAACATTACAAATAGGGTATTATGCTGTATGTAATCTTTTGGAACTTACTTTTTTCAGTTAATACTGTCAAGATGCATCTGTATTGTTGCAGGTCACTGTAAGTCATTTTAATCCAGGATGCTGTATAATATTCTATGTGTCTGCCATGTTCCACTTCTAGTCCCCTTAGACCTTTACAGCAACCCTCCTTTTTCTTACAGTGGTAACTTCAGTGTGTCTCTCCTTTGCACAACTAAAAGAGCTAGACTAAAACGACCAGGCTTAGATGTTGCCAGAGCTAAGTCATGCTAATGCTGATGTAAGGCAAAGAGTGAGATTAATCCTTGCAAAGGTCGAAGACTGGTCACGTCCATGAGAAAAGGTCCTCTGTCCCCATGATTTATCTGCAGAGTAAGGTTCACTCCAAGCAGTGATGGAAATTAAAGAGGCAGCTTTAGGACCTCCACGCTGACCCAAAATGGAAATCATTTGGCAGCAAACAAATGGAAATGTTGTCCTAAAGATCAAATGAGATAATAATATGTGGGAACACTTTGTAAACCTTGGGCCATTTTTATAAATGTGCAGTTGAACTGTTATTGTTTTCATTATTCATTTGCATTATCTGGGCATTTCATTTTCCTCTGTTTATAAGGTGCCCAGCTGGGTTGGATTTAAATCAAAAAAGAAGGAAGATGTGAATATTCATTAAACATCTCTGCGAAGCCTTTAACCCTGAACCAGCTCTTCGAAGTAAGAAGCATTATCTCTGTTTTACAGATGAGAAAACTGAGATTTGATAACGTCCCAAATCCTATAACAAACAGAGGTGGAGTTTGGATTCAAATTCAGGTCTGTCTGAATCTAAAACCCTTTTTCTGTTTTACATATTTCCTGGAATCTGCCCAGGCAGTCCTCATTCCTTCCTCATTCCCTGTCTGAATTTGGCAGGATGAATCTTCTATTTACAATCTTTCTCAGGATTTCTTTTCCTACTCTGAGACTACTGATGGACTAAAACAGAGTCTATGTAAGAATACCTTTGGAAAGACTGGGAACTTTCTGAGCTCTAATCTGTGAATTTTAATCCAGGAATCAGGAAAACCAGAGGGCATCTATGCTTGGGTTGACTTGTCAGTTGGGTTGTCCCATCTGCAGGGGCCCTGTGTGGGCTGGAGGAGGGTACATTTCACAAAAGGCCCCAAGATGCGGGTAATACTTCCACCTGCTTTAGGTAAACCATTTAATCTCGCTGAAACGTGGAACTACGCATACCTGTCTTTTCATATGCAACAGGGGCTAAGATCCAGTGAGACACGGTGCAGATACTTGGTATGATCATATGAGGCAACAGATGGGAAAACGGTTTGAAAACTGCAAAGCATTTTTTTTTTCCAGCACGAATGTAAGCTGGTATTTGTTTTCATTGTTATCATTCCCTTTCAGCAGAGCCCTCTCCTAGGGAAAGCCCTTACAGTAGGGGCTCCTAATAATGACTGAGGTTTGAGAACTGCCAGAAGGCAAACAACATGAAGCCTTTTAAAGCAAACCAGAGGAAGTCCAGTCTCTGACTATTTATTTTATGAAGTTAGCTGCTGGATATGTTAAGCAAATGTTTTCTTAATTGTGGCAGTACGAGAAAACAATAGGGCAAGGGTTGCTGGGGATGGTGGGGTGGGGGCGGGCATCAGGCCTCTACCCCCACCGCAAACTCCACCACCAAATTCCCAGAGAAAGACAGGAAAAAATTAAAGACAGGCCTTTTCTTTCGTGGTCACATGTCTGCCCTGCTGCTGTAATAAGAACCTGCGCCAATTAGAAACGTTTCACCTCCTCCTCCCTGCCCCTCCCCGGGCACATTTCAGAGCAGGCCGGGTTGTGGACGCCAAGAGTTTGCCAAACAGCAAACACTGGTGTGTGAGCGGCTGAAGGGGACTCTTTCCACTCCGATCTCCCTCCCTCCCAGCCTGTTTTGATTTACTAGGACTTCCTCCTCCGGGCGAGGCGGGGGAAGGACGCCGCCGAGAGCCTGGAGTTGTGCGCGTGTGCGTGTGCGAGTGTGAAGTGCAGCGCTGGAGTGCAACATGCTGTAATGGGAGGAAACAGAGCGGCGTCGGAGCGCCCTGGACCGCTGCGGCCGTTCTGAGCGCAGTGGCGCCGAGCAGCCCCTCCCGGAGCCGGTGTGACCTGTCCCTTCAGGTGCGTGGCCGCCTGGCCGTCGGGCCGTCGGAGACCGCGGCTCGGGCGTGCGGGTGCAGAGAGAGGGCGGCGGGGCCCGGGGGACTGGGGACGGCGGGTGCACCGCGTTCCGGGGGTGCGCGGGTGTGGACGGCGACCCGGCGCAGGCCGGTGGTGCGCCCTTTCCCGGCTGCTCGGCGAACCGGGGGAAGCGGAGGGCGGCGTGGGTGCCGCAGGTCTGGCTGAACTCCGGGCACTTGGCGGGCTGTGTCTGGCGGGAAGGGCAGCAGGTCCGCGGGACGGTCTTGTTGGACCGTGGACGTTGGCGTCCCGTGCGCTGTCCCCCGGGAGCGGGGACCTACTGTGCGCGCGTGGGGAGCGCAGCGGGCACCTGGGCGAGCACAAAACGTGCGTTTGTGTTTGTGCGTTTGCACCGAACTGTGTCCCCCGGCCGGGCCTCGGGGGCCTGGGGCGTGCGAGATGCCGTGTCCACAGCAGTGTGCGCCATGTCCACGCGCCCTGCCTGCTGGCGCCTCTCGGGAGCGCCCGCCCCAACAAACCTCACTGCCCCAGCGCGCCGGCACCGGCCAGGGAGGTGCGAGCTGGCGCCCGGCGCGAGGCGGGCGGGGAAGGGAAAGCTGCCGCTCCCGAACGCGGGCGGCCCCGCCCCTGCCTCCTACCCGGCTCACCTGGGCTCAGCTCCCACCTGCTCCTTGAGGGGCGTGGCAGGGGGGCGTAGCCTAGCCGTCCTGGCGGAGCCCGGCTCAGGGTGGGCGGCGCCTCATTCCAGGGATTCCTCGCGCGCTCGCGCTCGCGTCCGCCGGCCTGTCCCGCGCGTGCGTGTGCGTGTGCGTGTTTGACTGGGGCCCGTGCGGGGCTCGGGCGCGAGCGCGCCTGTGCGTCTGCGCGCGCTCGGAGTGCGCCCCGCGTGCCCGGGTCCCGCCCCCGCCTCCGGGTTCCCCGCAGGGCCCGGGCGGCCCGAGGCGGGCGCGCCCAGAGCTGCCGGGCGGTGAGTGCGGTTGACCCGGTCGGCGGGGCGGGACCCGGGCTGGAAGAGGGCCGGCCTGAGGGGGTCTTGGGGTGGGCCGTAGGAGCGGAACCGGGACGCCCTGCGGGAGGGAGGAGGTGGCGGGTTCTTGCCCAGCCGCTCTGGAGGCGCTGGTGGGAGCGGAAGCGCCTGAGCTCCCGGAGGGCGTCCTGGGAGTCGAAGGCGCGGGGCGGGCGAGGAGGCCCGCGCCTGGCGTCCTCTCGGTTCCCGCCGGCTCAGGGAGGGCTGTGGTGCGAACTGCGGGAAGGGACACCGTCCTCTTCGTGTGCTTCCTGCCTCCTCCCCAAAACGGGAATGCATACTCTCCCTGCACCCAGTGCAGGCCTCGCCGAAGAGCAGCGGGCTTTTTGCTTTTTGTTTTGCTTAAAGTCTTTGATTTTTCACACTGAGACATTTAACTGTCTTAGGTTATGATGACAGTGCTTGCTGGGGCTATGGGTGTTTATGTGCGTTGCTCTCCTGTGTTCATCTGCTTAAATTAGATGATTAAAAAATCGGCTTCACTTTGATTGTCGGTGCTGTATGTTTGCTAGTTGTAATCCCTTCTCTGTGACTAATAGGAACCAGCAGCCTGGCGCGGGAGGGTAGGGGTGTGGGGGAAGTGGAGGCGGCTGTGCTGGGTTTTATCGGCAGCTGGTTGCTCCTCTGTTAAACGGCACTGACTCCGAGTTAGTGGAGTTTTAATATCTTGTTCTAAACTCAAGCTTACCTGGACTCAGAAGTAGGCTTTCAGTTGTTTGCTTCCTCTGAATATTCAAGGAGAAAAAAAATGTTAATTTGTCTATTAGGATTTGAAGGTCAGTTTTGCATACCATGTTAGTATATCAAATTTTAACTCTTTACTCGTTGAGCCCACGGACTTGTAACGTTCATTGTTTCCTGCTTGCCTCTAATGAAGAGTCTGCGCATGACTGGGAGGGGAGTAGAGTGGGCAGTTTAAGACCTTTGGGGTCGGAGCAGTAAGGCTGTCCTGGTGGTGTGATCTTGGGACAAGTCATTTATTATCTCTAAGTCCCAGTGGTCTCAAATAAAGGGTTTAGAAATAAGTGCATCAAAAGTTTCATGTCTTACACTCAAGACGGTTTTGAGTTTTTTCTTTTTCTTGTATTTCCTGTTACATCTGGACTGAAAAGTCATCTCCCTCACGGTGGAAATGATTTAAACCCGTTGTTTAACTTTGGCAAAATTTTAATCCCAGGCTAATTTTCCCTGTCACCGTTTTTTCACACTCCTGGGCAGCCTGTCTTTGCTTTCCAGTTGGAAGGGAATGCAAACTAGTTTTTATGTTGACCAAAACACAATACAATTAAGAAGATAATTCGGAGGGGTCCTTGGGATGGACTGTCAGAGCTATAAATAACTGTGGACTGCATTCCACTACTGAATGCTGTAGTAAAAACAATTCTGGCTTATTATTGCTGGAGACTTGAGTTCTAGTCCTACCAATGTCATCTACTAGCTTTATGACCAGAAATAAGTTATTAGTACTCATCCTTTGTGTTTTATTTTTCTTTGTAAAAGGGTGATAATATCAGTTCCAATATATCACAGAGTTTCAGGAATTACAGAGAATAATGTGCTTTGAAAGCATTTTGTGTTATTTAACTTTGAAGCACTGAAAGAGCTGCATAAACAGTGGTTACTGCTGTCCCCCAACTGATTTAAAATTATGACTTTATCTGAAGATTTAACACTTCTTACACACGTAGTAATTGTGTAAAAACTTTTACTTTAAATGTTCTGGGCTGGGGGCAGTGTCTCATGCCTTGTAATCCCAGCACTTTGGGAGACTGAAGAGGATTGCTTGAGGCCAGGACTTTCAGACCAGCCTGGGCAAACAGAGACTCGGCTTCTAAGTGTACCAAAAAAAAAAATAAAAATAAAATTCTGTAGCGATAAATTTATTTTATTATATATATATTTTTTGAGACGGAGTCTCGCTGTGTTACCCAGGCTGGAGTGCAGTGGTGTGGTCTCAGCTCACTGCAACTTCTGTCTCGGATTCAAGTGATTCTGTGCCTCAGCCTCCTGAATAGCTGGGACTACAGGTGCATGCCACCATGCCCAGCTAATTTTTGTATTTTTAGTAGAGATGGGGTTTCACCATATGGGCCAGACTGGTATTGAACTTCTGACCTCATGATCCACCCTGCCTCTGCCTCCCAAAGTGCTGGGATTACAGGCGTGAGCCACCTCGCCCTGGCTGGGTAATTTCTTTTAACCTCTTATGGAGGCAGCCCTGTTAGCAGTCTCTGGTGGTTGCCAAAACACATCCAAAGGGAGATTTTATTCTGTATCTGTTCTACAAAGATAGAAGCTGCTGTGCAGCTTTTAATTTGCCTTAGTAAAATAATAAGTAGGTTAACAATAAAAGTTGTTTTGTAACTTTGAACATGACTTAATAAAAGTACTAAAAGTTGGAAGTTCAGGAGGGAAAAATCAAATACATGGGAAATTTTTAATATCACTGAAATTACGACAGTGTGGTGATATTATCATACCCATGTTTCTGTTTATTGCCTGTGTGAGATGAGCTGTTGTAGCTATGAGAACCTGGTGAAAGAGAACGTGTGTGTGTGTGTGTGTGTGTGTGTGTGTGTGTGTGTTAAGAAATTTCTTCGAGGTATGTTAACTGAGGCTCATTTGTGTTTCAGGGAGCGCATCTAAAGTTAGTGAAGCTATAGGCGGGTGTTTAATAGAAGAGTTAAGTGAATGCTGCTAATCTGTAGCATTTAGGATCTGTACACATTAAAACAAAAATCAAAACCCAACACCATAAGAACTAGATTGCGAAATCTTAATGCAAGATTTGGCGGATACACACTGCCAAGGTATGAAAAGGAGTGCAGGAGGTGCTAAAACCAGAAAAATTATACCTACTTGAAATACAGAATAATAGCACTTTTGCAAAGGGGGAAAACTTTGTAGAATGTACTTTCTGTGTCTCATGCCTCAGGTCTGATAACCAGATATAGTTGATCCTCATTTTTTGTGGATTCCATGTTTATGAATTTGTCTACTCACTAAAATTTATTTGTAAGTCCCAAATCAGTGCCTCTGACACTTTCTTTGACATTTGTGAACATGTGCAGGGTGGGAAAAAATTTGAGCTTCCCAACATGCATGTTCCCAGCAGAGGTCAGGCAAGGCAATACTCTGTCTTCTTGTTTTATCTCTCATGCTATAAACAAGTGTGCTTTTTGCAGTCTGTTTAGCAATATGTTTTTATACGTTTTTGTGCCTTTTTGGGGGGATTTTGCTATTTACAATGGCCCCCAGTATGGTGCTAAAATGCTGTCTTATGTTCCTCAGCGAAGAAGGCTGTGATGAACCTCATGGAGAAAATACACGTTTGATGAGCTTTGTTCACCTTTCAGTTAGGGTGCTGTTGGCCTTGAGTTCAACATTAATGAATCAACAATAGGTATTAAATAAGGTATCTTTAAACAGAACCATACATGAAACAAGGTTGTGTATTGATCAGTTTGCAAAAATGTGACCAGAGGCTGGAAGGAACCTAACCCTCATTTCGCCTCGGAACAGTGGTTCAGTATCCACTAATTCAGCGCTCACAGAGATTTTATAGAACACAACTACTGTGAATAACAAGGACTAAGCCGGCCACGGTGGTTCACAACTATAATCCCAGCATTTTGGGAGGCTGAGGCAGGCAGATCACCTGAGGTCAGGAGTTTGAGACCAGCCTGGCCAACATGGTGAAACCCTGTCTCTGCTAAAAATACAAAAATTGCCCAGGCTTGGTGGTGGGCACCTGTAATCCCAGCTACTTGGGAGGCTGAGTCAGGAGAATCTCTTGGACCTGGGAGGCGGAGATTGTAGCACGCCATTGCACTCCAGCCTAGGCGACAAGAGCGAGACTCTGTCTCAACGAAGAAACAAACCAAGAACCAATCATATTTACTGATGGCGATAACTAAACAGGGCTACCTAATGTTGCACTGTGTCATGAATT